GCGACTTCCTCCACCACCAGGCTATAGGAGACGTTTTCTTGACAGCCCCTAGTATGCCAGCTTCCTTTTCCAGCCAATGAAGAAAGAAGTTACCCAGACAGTTCAGCCTGGGGGTGGGCGAAGCAGTACTTCCTGTGTCCCCAGTCTGGATCCTTCTTGGCAGAGCAAAGTGGACAGGGTGGCCCAGAACAGAAAAGGGCCACAGCAAACACATCATCATCTCAAGTGGCAAAAAGATCAGCCGTGACCTACACCTCTTCCTCACAGACCTGAAGTATACAGCAAGCTGAACGGATCACCCAGAGCAGTGCTGTCATGTAAAGGGGAAGGACCTGAGGCTCAGAGACAGCTAGCAGTTGGCTGAAAGTCACACAGCACACAGAGGCAGAGCAGGACCTGGAGCCCAGGTCTCTTGCATGCCAACTCAAAGAACTCTCCACCTGTTTAAAGTTCAGACAGATTCACCAGGAACCTCCCTTGCAAACTCAGAACAGGCTATTTTGGTGGCACTGAGTGGTGACATAGTGAATGTTTGTTTTGGTTTCCAAATCAACCACTTGACAACCGTGTGCTCTATACAGTTTCAATGACCACATTTCCCACGTGGTAAAGAGCTACCAGGCTGAGGGGAAAATCAAAGAAGTGGTGAGTGGGGCTGCGGCTGGAGCACCCCGGCCAGGAACTCTGGTCCGCACTGGTGTTCCCAAAGTGTGACTCGTGTGCCACCAGTGGTACAAGAGACGATGTTAGGAGGCACAAGGATGAATTTTAAAATTTAGAATATATCTGGTCAATGAATAAATAAAGTGTGGTCTATCTATACAGCACTCCTTAGCAATGAAAAGGAACATGCTACCTGCTACAGTATAGATGACATCAGAAATACGAGCTCAGGGAGGGATCTTGCCACACAGGGGACACGCAGTGCATAATCCCTCTTACGCTGAAATGTCCAGGAGAGGCAAATCCACAGAAATAGAAAGCAGATCGGTGATTGCCAGTGCTGGGGTGAGGATGAAAACCCTCACCAGACAGGCTTGGAGGATCTTTTGAAGGGGTGCATGTGTTCTAAAACTGCACTGTGGTGATGGCTACACAACTGAGAATTTTCTACACGTCACTGATACACTTAAAAAGTGGGTGGATTTGACGATAGGCAAAGTATGCCTCGGCAAAGCTATGGAATTACATCATATAAGTAGCAGGGAAGGTATACTGAGAAGAGGGCTACAAATCGTGGATGTAGGACCCCCAGACCCCCAGCTTGAAGGATACCAAGATACATGTAACAACATGCTGTGTCCACCCAGAGGCAAGAGAGACTCTCTGGGGCCGTGAGCTCTTGCAGGTGACTGCAGGAAACCCTACAGCCTCTTCCTGTTCTGGCCAGTGACCCTCGGGCATTGGCCCTTTCTTGGGGTCTTCCCTAGACACTCTGGAAGGACTCGAGGCTTTCAGTGGCCAGCAGTCCAGGCCAACACCTTAGTCCCATCCCCCAGACCATGACCTCTCTTCTGGGCAGGGACTGAAGGTTGGCGGGGAGCTCAAACTCGGACAGATGTGCTATCAAAACTGGGAAGACCCTTAAGACGGTGTAGCCAAGTGGGTCTTAAACTTTCTTTATAGTTCATTGTATGTTCACCTCCCTCGAAAATAAGAATCTTACAACAAACCCCAACATAGTATGTAATAAGAATAGACTCTTAGGTGTAAATTTATATCGTAAACTCAAGTATGTATCACTACCATCTTAAACTCGATCAACCTGATTGATGAGGCCCTTCTGATACATTAACACATTGGGGCCGGGGAGATGGCTCAGTAGGATAAGCGCTTGACTGATACATTAACACTGAAGATGGGCGCGATGGGTGACAGTTCCATATGCAGGTTACCTCTACCTCCAGTTTCAGCTGCAGACCATGAAAAAGATCTTGCTAGGAACCAGGCATGGTGGCCCACAACTAACTATAATCCCAGCACTTGGGAGGTTGAGATAGGAGGATCACTGCACATTCGAGACCAGCCTGGGGGCTACAAAAGTGAGCACAAGGCCAGCCTGAATGTTGGGAGACCCTGTCTCCAAAAAACTGAATGGGAATCATTTTAAGCAACTTTCATAGACATCTGGGAGTACTCTTCAGACAAGCAGAGAAAGATTGAGAGATACTTTAATTCAAGACCAACTATGAACAAGTTAGCATGTTAATGAAATCCAATAAGACAACATAAAGAATTTAAACATGAGGAGGGACATTCTTATGACTGTATTGCCATCTAAATGTATTTTAAATAATAATTTTTATGAAACACTGAAGAAGCCCCAAAAGCATCACCGAGGAAGCTTGGAACTCCAAGGAGGAGTTCCACTCTCAGGGATACTCGCTTCGGAAAAATCTAATGTGAAACCTTAGTGAAATTCAGAAAAGGTGGGTCTTTTGAATTCACACACACAAAAAAGGAAGGGTCTTTTTTTTGTGCACACACCCCAGAAAGTGTGCACACACCCCAGAAAGACGCCGGCACTCCACCTGTCGCAGCAGCACGGGCTCATTCCAGGCTGGTGCCAGGCGCTGATATCACACCCCACACCCTAGGTGCAACCTGGGCAGAGAGAGTGTTGCTCAATACCAGTCCACCTCACTCTGACACTGGGTATGGTCCTTCCATCTCCTTAGCAGCAAGGACCAAAAAGCACACACACAGTAAAACAAACACAGCGCAAGCCTTTGGCATGACGACACAGCCAACAGTGACAGACAGGAGGGGCCAGCCCTTCCCTCCCTGGGTTTCACCATTAAAAGCAATTGTCTCTTTCCCAGGATGGCCCCAGGAGGCCGGCCACAAAGGGCGCAGGAGTGCCTCCCTACAAAAGACACCAGGCCATTCTTAAGCGAAGTACTCCAGAGGAGAAGCTCATCCTCTAGAAAGCTGGCCCTAGGTGGAGAGCAGAGCAGCAGCTCCAGGCATTTCTGCTCCCTGTGTGCTGGACAAAGTGTTAGCTAATATCCTCTGGATTATCTTACATCTGGCCAAAAGCATCAAGTTCTCTTACTCTCCTCTTAAGCAACTGTGGGTGGATTTTACTATTCCCATTTATCTGATGGGCCAACAGGCCTGCCAGTGGTTTGACATTCTCTCCAGCAGGAGATGCAGTTAGCACCTTCTTAGTTGCTACTGGGACAAGGGAGGCCCCCACCTAGCTCCCTGGGCAGACTTTAGGGTGAAAAAAAACCAAAACTCTTTTTGGATTAGTGTCATGGCTCCAAACACAGAGTTGACACAGCTCTTGGCCCTAAGGCCCCTCTCCTACCCAGGCCTGAGACACTGCTGACAGACCCTCTTGTCAGAAAGCAGAGCAGACACCAGCATCCTCAGCCAGGCTACAGGCAGGAAGAAGCACAAGTCACTTTCCCAGCCAGGGAATCTGGGCTGGGCAGGAACACACTAACCAATTCAGCCAGAGTCTGTGGCCTGGGTTCATCTATGTTTTCCAGCCCAAGGTTATTTCCTCCAGGGGGTCTCTAGGGCTGACTCCACTGGAGCTTAATAAGTGATAAGACTCGGGGCATGTGTCAAAAGCAGGCATTTTCTAAAGCTCATAGCCAGTCTGTGGTGGTTCTGGCTCTCCAGGCCAGGGAGCTAGACCTCACAGAACTGGTCCAAGGGGAAAGGGACAGATCCATGCATTGTCCCCAACATGATCTTATTTAATTCGAGGAATAAAGAGGCAGTAGGATGCTCAAGACCTTTTTTATTTTTTTTAAACTATTGAAGAAGAAAAGCCTACCTCCTCACATCCTCGGAGTAATACTTAAGTTAAATCCTGAGCTCACCGTGTACTGGACACGCTGCCTTGGGCATGTCACTTTGAATCTCTGCACCTCAGTCTCCTCTTCTGCAAAATGGGATGTGACTGCCTCACACTACATTGTCGTGAAGACTTAATGAAATCATACAGACCACTGGACATTACGTCCTTTAGGAAAGAATGTCCGGACCAGTGACGGCACCACAGTCAGCGCCCGGCCCGTTCTCGGGTCCAGGAACCAGGTCTCCCTAGGCACGTGGAGTGTAGGGTGCTCAGCAAAGCCTGCTTGCACCCCAGCTGCCAGACCCAGCTGCTGGCCGGCCCTCCTTCCTCTGTCAGCTCCCGCACACACACAAGGTGCGGCGGGGGAGGGGAGGCCCCACTCACCTCCGCTTGTACTCGTCGCGCTCGCGCTTCACCTTGGCCAGCACGTTGTAGAGTGCGCGGATCTCAGGCGTGATGGTGTCGATCTGAACGCCTACGCCGTCGGGGTGCACCCACGACACGCCAGGGCCCTGCACAGTCTCCACGCCGCCGCCGCCAGTGCGCCGAACCTGCGTGTAGCTCCAGATGGTGCCGGGCAGGCGACCGTAATGCTGCGGATGTGAGCCGCCGCCGGGGGGCAAGCCGCCCAGGGCCGCGGCGTTGGCGTTGGCGTTCGGGCCGGGCGCCGGGGGCCGCAGCAGTTCTGGCCCGGTCTGCACGGCCTGCTCGCGGGAGAAGGTCTTGTAGCGCAGCCGCCGGTCGCGCTCGCTCTGCTGCTGCTCCAACTGCTTCTCCAGCAGCCGGTTGCGCCGTTCCAGCTCATGCACCTTGGCCAGGAAGCAGCGGAAGCGCACGTTGAGCCCCTTTAGGAGGTGGATGTTGGAGCCCAGGTCGTCTCGCAGCGCCGCGGTCACCGGCGAC